GTAGATAGACCAACACGAGGAGAGGCCACTTTGGATTTGGTGCTTGGCAATGAACTGGGCCAAGTGTTAGACCTGTTGGTAGGAGAGCATTTTGGCGGTAGTGATCATAACTCTGTTTCTTTCACGATAGTCATGGATAAGGATAGGAACATAGGGCAGGGTAAAGTTTATAATTGGGGGAAGGGTAATTACAATTCAGTTAGGAAGGAACTGGGTAACATAAATTGGGAACAGACGCTGTCAAGGAAGAACACCACAGAAATGTGGAGATTGTTTAAGGAATGCATACTGCATGTGCTTGATATGTTTGTTCCTAGCAGGCAGAGAAGATGCAGTCGAGTGAGAGAGCCATGGTTCTCCAGAGAGGTCGAACGACTGGTTAAGAGGAAGAAGGAGGCTTATGTAAGGTTTAGGAAAAGAGGAACGGAAAAGGCTCTAGAGGGATACAAGTTAGCCAGGAAGGAGCTGAAGAAAGGGCTTAGGAGAGCTATAAGGGGGCATGAGAAAACCTTGGCAGATAGGATCAAGGAAAACTCCAAGGCTTTTTACACATATGTGCAGAACAAGAGAATGACCAGAGAAAGGGTAGGGCCAATCAAGGATTGTAGAGGGAATTTGTGCACACAGCCGAAAGAGATAGGAGAGGTCCTTAATGAATACATTTCTTCGGTATTCACAACTGAGAGGGACCTAATTGTAGAGGAGGACGTTGTGAATCATGCAGGTAGGCTAGAGGAGGTTGATAGTAAAGATGATGTGCTAGGAATTCTGAGGAAGTTGAAGATAGATAAGTCCCCCGGGTCTGATGGGATTTATCCAAGGATTCTATGGGAAGCGAGGGACGAGATCGCAGGGCCTTTGGCAATGATCTTTTCGTCCCCACTGTCCACGGGTATAGTGCCAGAAGATAGGAGAGAGGCAAACATCATTCCCTTGTTCAAAAAAGGGAACAGGGATAACCCCGGAAATTACAGACCAGTTAGTCTTGCGTCAGTGGTGGGCAAATTATTGGAAAGGGCTCTGAGAGATAGGATTTATGATCACTTGGAAAGGCACAGTTTGATTCGTGATAGTCAGCATGGATTTGTGAGGGGTAGATCATGCCTCATAAACCTTATTGAATTCTTTGAAGAGGTGACCAAACACGTGGATGAAGATGGAGCAGTGGATGTGGTATACATGGATTTAATTAAGGTGTTTGATAAGGTTTCCCATGGTAGGCTCATGCAGAAGGTAAGTTCGCATGGGATAGGAGAAAATGTGGCAGATTGGATTCAGAATTGGCTGACCCTTAGAAGACAAAGGGTGGTAGTGGACGGAAAATATTCAACATGGTGCTCAGTTACAAGTGGTGTACCACAAGGATCTGTTCTGGGTCCTCTTCTATTTGTGGTTCTTGTAAATGATTTGGATGGAGGAGTGGAAGGGTGGATTAGCAAGTTCGTGGATGATATGAAGGTGGGTCACGTTGTGGATAGTGTGGAGGGCTGTTCTAGGTTACAAAGGGACATTGATAGAATGCAGAGCTGGGCTGAGAAGTAGCAGATGGAGTTTAACCCTGAAAAGTGTGAGGTGATTCATTTTGGAAGGACAAACTTGAAAGCAGAATACAGCGTTAACGGAAAGATTCTTGGCATTGTGGAGGAGCAGAGGGATCTTGGGGTTCATGTTCATAGTTCCCTGAAAGCTGCCACCCAGGTGGATAGAGTTGTTAAGAAGGCATATGGTGTGTTCGCCTTCATTAATAGAGGGATTGAGTTCAAGAGCCGTGAAGTTATGCTCCAGCTATACAAAACCCTGGTTTGGCCACATCTGGAGTATTGTGTCCAGTTCTGGTCACTTCGTTACAGGAAAGATGTGGAAGCGTTGGAAAAGGTGCAGAGGAGATTTACCAGGATGTTGCCTGGAATGGAGGGAAGGTCTTACGAGGAAAGGTTGAGAGAGCTCGGTCTTTTCTCTTTCGAACGACGAAGGATGAGAGGTGACTTGATAGAGGTGTACAAAATGATCAGAGGTATAGATAGAGTAGATAGCCAGAGACTTTTTCCTAGGGTGGAGGTAGCTTTTACGAGGGGACATAGTTTTAAAGTGAAAGGAGGTAGATATCGGGGAGACGTTGGAGGTCGGCTCTTTACTGAGAGAGTGTTAGGGGCGTGGGATGCATTGCCGGAGAGGGTAGTGGAGTCGGCCTCATTAGGGGCATTTAAGCGGCTATTAGATAGGCATATGGCTGATAGTATAAGGTAGCAGTGGAGGTTAGATAGACCTTAGGTTTCGGGTAAAAGTTCGGCACAACATCGTGGGCCGAAGGGCCTGTACTGTGCTGTACTGTTCTACGTTCTAAGTTCTAAAACACATTAGCTACCCTCCAGTTATCTTGCACTTCACCTGTGACCATTGAAGTATCATATCTCCACCAGGTCCTCCACAATCTCCTCCCATCGCTGCTTTGGATTCATCTCATCAGGTTCTGGGGATTTATGCACCTTTATTCCTTATAAATAATACCTCCTGCTTATTAATCTTAACTTGCTCTAGAACCTCACCATCCCAACTGAAATCTCCAGCTACAATAAAAACCCAAAGAACTGCGGATGCTGTAAACCAGGAATAAAAACAAAGTTGCTGGAAAATCTCAGCCGGTCTGGCAGCATCTGTGAAGGAGAAAACAGACTTAACGTTTCGGGTCCGGTGACCCTTCCTCAGAACTGATGGTGGCTGGGAAAGCATCAGTTTATACGCAGAAAATAGGGAGGTGAGTGGGGTAGGGAGTAAATGATAGGATACTCTTGCTTTCAATATGCTTATAAAATGCCTAGGTGTATTCCTTAATCACATTTGCCAAAGATGTTTCACGGCCCCTCTTTGCCCTCCTAATTTATTTTTAAGCACGCCCAGCACACTGTACTCCTGAAGGACCTCCCCTGTTTTTCATGTTCTGTACCTTAGATATGATTCCTACTTTTTATCCTTGGACTCGCTGTTGTTTCCCATTGTAATAAAGTGGAGGACCCCACCACCCAATAACTAAAACTGAAATGCCCCAAGAGGAGCTCCTCGCCTTAAAATCTGTTAAAGCAGTGTAAAAAATGGTGTAACCTGCTTCTCAGCAGCTTCTAGTGGTTAAATAAAATAAGTCCCTGACACTCCTTTTAAAATCAACAAGTAACAATTTATTTATATGACTTTAACA